TTGAGTAAAGTCTTTATTAAGAAGCTGCTAGTCGTTCACCTGCCACAGAATTTCCGCTCTATTTATATAAAAAGATGCGTAATTTCCATATTCACAGGCACGCACCACTGGAGGTTATCCTGTATAGCTAATTGCATGCAATAGAGTCTTTATTAAGAACCTGATAGATGCTAAACTATTAAAGAAATTACCATTATTTTATTAAGCCCGAAGCTTCAATATCGTGATCAGTACTTACCATTCAAGATCTCAGTGGTAACAAATTTCTTCTTCTGGATTCTGATATTGCAGTTCGGTTTTGGAGAGTCCCGCTATCTCCATTTCTGTGTTACCTGTCTTCTACCCTGGAGACTGAAGCAGCAAGTTGCTCTGAAGCACACTTCAAATGGCGTTATAATGAAGATGATTAAATCTACATCTTTCCATTCATACTGTCTGTTGGAATAGAGATGTCACTGCGTACTCCTCCCACTCCTTACGTCTGTCTGCCCTCGGTATGTTTTGCGCCTTCCCCCAAATTACCTCCCCGTTGACACGTTTGTTGCTGCAGACAGTATACACAAGACTGGCCGTGCCATAGCTCAGACGGTTAGACGCCGGCTTCACACCGCGGCAGCCCGGGTTCGATCCCATATCAGGTCATGTGGAATTTGTGGTGGATACAGCGGCAGTGTTGTCGGTTTCCTAGGAATACTATGGTTTCCCTTGCTAATTATAATTCCACGGAATACCACACACTAATCTGTCAATCCATGATGGTACAAAAGGCTCTGCATAACAAGTGGGCTAGAGCCTCATTCCCCCGGCACATTAATGAGGAACAAAAAGCTCTACTTTTCTTTCACTACATAATAAGTATTTGATACAACAAGGACCGCACACAAAACACCGAGTCCAGAAACTTTTGAATATAATGTGGCGCCTGAAAGCCAAAATAATGGAGCCAGACGATGTGATAATTGTTAGTCAACGACTCGGTAAAAAGTTCCCGAGACAAAGAATCCACACGCAAAAAACGTTGTTACCTTGAGACAAACAGACAGTATTTTTTTTATTCTCAGTGGGGTGGGACTAAGTCCCTTGTACTGCGGCCACTTCTGGCCTATTGTATCCGCCCCAGATGATAGGTGAGAGTGATTGTGGAGCAATTGGTGGAATGAAGATTGGCAAGGGAAACCGAAGTATTCGGAGAAAACCTGCCCCAGTGCCACTTTGTCCACCAAAAGTCCCACTTGACCAGACACGGGATCGAACTCGGACCGCCGCTGTGGGAAGCCAGCGACTAACGGCTTGAGCTATGGCGCGGCCCAAACAGACAGTCAAGTGTTCTCATAAGCCTCTTTTTATTTCTTTAAAAATAAGGAAAATAGGCTAACATAAGGCTAGAGTGACAGTGTGGATTTATTGAGTGCTTAATGTGTGAGTTAGATGAGTAGAGAGCTTGACATGAACAGAATCTCCGTGTTTATTGATCACATTATAATCTGCTGTTCGGTTGGCTAGCCACTGCGAAGTTCTGAGAACAGGTGCATTACAGATAGGAAACAAACAGCCAATAGAAGAGAACTGTTTACCCTCGACCTCAGTTAATCGGACATACATAGAACAACATGAAATGCCACGGTTCAGTCCACAAATCTGATATGAATAAAAAGAAACGGTTTTCCACGTCATATCGAAACTGTAATAGTACGTTAATATAGGTCAACTTGTTTTGCAGGAACATTTGCAAAGCAGATTTTGTAAATACTTTGACATGATAGCTAGTGTCCATTTGCACACAGAGGAACGTGTTGAATTGGAAACGATTGCACATGTGTTATCATACACATGCACCTGGACGCTCTAGCATACAGACTGCAGCTACGTGATCATTGTCCCAGTATGACAAAAACATAAGTCGCTCAACTGGACCCAGTTTCAAAGAGAACCTTGCTCAATAAGCATTACGTTTCACTCATTTTAACTGAATTACAAATGTAAAAAGAGCCCTCTGTAATGTGCCCTACTAGTGTTTACACGGCTCGAATCCTTTTGCGTAAGTACTACAATTAATAATATAAAATTAGCCGTCAATGCAACAACATTTTTATTGATTTGGGATACATTACATATTTTGAAATTTAAAGGGTCATCTTCAGATGTTTTCAGTTACACATTGTTAATTACTGAATTGCAATGTGAGGTCCCTATATTCCTACTCACATTCACAGGCCATAAAGTGTCTAATTAATATTTGCATAATATTCAGAGATACTGCCACATATTAAACTTAATTAAATTGAAATATATTTTAATTTTATAATTAATTTAAAAATTGATTTAAAAATCGTCATCTATAATAGGCTTCGTGTCGAGCTGCAGTAGACCTCGTTTGACCTACTCACATTCTTGTATTATTTGTTGTGTTACCTCAATGTGCCATTATTATCATGCTCAAAAAATCATAGAAGAATTTGAGAAGGCCAAGCGAGGTCTACTGAAGCTCAAGACACGAAGCCGATCATAGCTCAAGATTTTTTAATCAATTTTTAAATTAGTTTTTAAATTAAATTTAAATTAAAAAATTAAAATCAATTTTAGTTTAATTATTAAGTTTAATATGAGGTAACATCCCTAAATATTATGTAAACATGAGTGTAGTCATTTTATGGCTTATATATATATAAACAGGAATATGAGGATTTCACCTTGCAATTCAGTAACCAATGCTGTGTAACTGGAAACACCCGAAGTTGATCATTTAAGGGTCGAAATATGTAGTGTAACCTAAGTGTAACTGAAATCAATTAAAACGTTGTTGAGTTGACTGCGAAATGTGTGTTATTAACTACTACTGTTTTACTACCAACATATTTACCTGTCCCAAGGTCTCTAGTCGCATGGATGTTTAGTTTGTGTGTGTGCGTTTTTCTGTGTTTGTGTACAGGTAGAGGCCTTGCGACGAGCTGATCACCCGCCCAAGGAGTCATACCGAATATGTAAGATCTAGAGAAACCGAAGTGAACTGAGAAGTTCATTGAGGTAGGCCTAGGCCCACTGGGGCTGTAGTGCCAAGGGGGGGAAAAAGGTCTCTAGTCAATATACGTTGGTTTGTGGGTCACTTGATCTCCAGTCTCGAGTATTCTGTACTGGTTTCTGGATCAGTTCTTCCCTTTAGTCAGTGATACTAGCAAATGTCTACTTTTTCATGATTCACTTCATCCTCTGTCCAAGGACTCAACTTTTTATACATTATGGCGTGATTCATTTCGTCCTTTGTCCAAGGACAGCATGTTACGCACACTATGTTTTGGTTCACTTCGTCCTTTGTCAAAGGACCCCATGCTGCATACACTATGTCATAAGTCACTTCGTCCTTTGTTCCAAGGACCCTAAGCCATGTGCACAGGTCCCTGATTTCATCTAGTCCCTTGTCTCAACGAATCCATAGCATGTACACTGCTTCCTTGTTTCTTGTCAGTTCTCTCAAGCATTCAAGGGCATATTGTGGCATATTTTCCCAACGCAAAAACACTAATATCAAAATGAAATCCCATCGTGTACAGTAAGACCCCCGCACAACTTCTCCCCTCTGCTCATAACAAAATCCGCATCTTAACATTTTATACTCTTTTCACTTCCGAAAGCTTTATCCCTCCCTAAATCCTATCTCTACCAGAAGTATGAGAACCTTCAAAGCAGAAAAAGTTTTGTGCCCCCCCCCTCAAGTGCAGTATCTCTTACATTCAGGCATCAGTATACCCAAGAATCTTAGGTTTCTACAAGTCTCTGTGTTATCGAGACGCTAAATGTACCACCAACATGACTATTTAACATCTGATGTGTTTTATTCTCCACTACATGTTTCGTCCTTTATTACTAGACCATCTTCAGGCGGCACAGTACTTAAAAATATCAGTTTATTGAATTGTTATGCTTAAATTCCACTCACCCGGACACCTGCTTACATAGTCACATTTGAATTTGTGGTCAATTTGGCTAGTTAATTGGTAAACCATTGCATGAAATTTATTAAAGGGAATAAAATGAATGAAATAGAATATAAAATTTTACAATTATATGTAGCTGCACCCGGTGAGACAAGGAAGAGCAGGGGAGGCATAACAAATAGAAGGTCACGGCAAGAAGAGTTCTTTTTGAGAAGCACCCGTCAATCAACTAACTACTCTAGAATTTCCCAGTATATTATGGAACCCGAAGGTTCATTACAGTTTTCACCGGGGTCCTCTACTGCTCCCTATCCTGAGCCACACAAATCCAATCCGTAAATATCCCATCCTATTTCTCTAGGATCCATTTAATATTATCTTCTCATCTACGTTTAAGTCTTCTTAGTGTTTCCCTTCTGGCTTTTCCTAAAAAATTCTATATGCATTCATCTTCATCTCATACGTGCTATATGCCCTACTCATCTCATCCTCCTTGACTTTATCATTCTAATTAGCCTGTGAAACTTCTTGTTACGCAAATCCATCCTCCCATCTCTTCACTTCTACTATGCCCAAATGATCTCTCTAGGGCCATGTTTTTAATTACCTTCAGTGTACCTTCTTGCCTCAAAGCCAGAGACCAAGTTTCACACCCGTCCAAAGCTAAACAAACCAACAAGTTAAATGAAGACAGAAATTGTATATTTAATCCTGTGAACAAGGGTGACGCGACGACAGAAGGCACTGCACTGACACGAATAACTTAATAAGATTATTTGCATCTTCTGACTGACAGAACCAAGGAAAGATATTCATGTTGGGCCTCGTGTTATCTTCACTGACAATTGCAGCTAGACTTTTTCTCTCTTCAGTGTTTAAAGCGTAAAATGGGGTAAGAAGGGAAGTTTTGAGAGCATGTGAATAGGAAGACAGCGCCGTTTAGCTGCTGTGGATGTCTGAAGAAGCTCTGGGTTCATTTCTAAAGTTTTCTGCCGCTGAAACAGGACACGCCTCTTCGCGCGCGCGCGCGATTCCGGCATTGGGCCCGTCCGAGCAGCGTCGATTGGTGCCAGTCTCGCGTTGTCCGTAGTTAAACCTAGACGTCTCGGCGCCCGCCACCGTTGTCGTCAGTCCGAACCGTTCTGAGGGGCGTTGATACTCACTCAGCTGATCGCAAGGTAAGGCTCCATTTGTTGCCGCAGCCTCTGATGCTGACAAGCGAATTGTTTCTAAATCAAGTATTTTTTTTTTGTTCGCGTTTGATGGGAAATGCAGACCTCATGGAAACACACCCTTCCTTCGTCACTTAGCTAAGTCAGTCGAAATAAATGTTATAAAGGTGAAAAAAGTTGTCCCTGTACTTAATTAAATAAGCATTACGCCATGAAGGCGTCTGGAGAAGTGAAGGTATAGATCTATATTTTCTTGACCTCGGCACTAAGTTTGAGGTGAGTGGTTAGATTAACGCCCCGGCCGCTTTACCTCCAGGGATTTTACCCCTGGTACCTACTGAATAAGCGGTTGGGTTGGACACAGAGCCGGTCTGGACGACGTGAGAAGAGAACAGTCTTCACCGTACCGGGACTCGAACTCCGACCCCTTGACCGTCTAGCCCGTAGCCAGTCACCATACCGACCCGACTGAGCTGTCCCGGCTCCTAATAAATGTTGTATTACTGTAATAATTATTTTATTATAGGCTTCGATTAAGTGACTTAAGGTTGATAAAAACTGTGTAATGAGGCGCTCCGCAACTCGCACTCTTTGCCAGTGTTCAAGTCAAGGAGATTGGCAGGACATTTAGAACACATGGAAGGAGAAGAGGAATGCATACAGGATTTTGGTGGGAAAACGAGAAGGAAAGAGATAATTAGGAATATCTAAACGTAGATGGGATACTAATATCAAGAAGGAGCCTAGTCCTACTGACTGGATTCAGCTGGCTCACGATAGGGACCAGTGGAGAGCTCCTATGAACACGGTAATGAAACTTGGAGTTCTTATAAAATGTTGGCTAATTCTTAGTAGCTGAGCAACTGGCGGCTTCTCAAGAAGCACTCCGCTTCATGGCCTTCTCGCTCTCATTAGTACCCTTCTGTATTCTCAGAGGAACAATTTGTTACTGCTTACACGTAAAGAAAAAACATGAAAATTATAAATTACGCGTCAAGTAATTTTGTTGCCATGGGTTATTTACGGCCCTATCAGTAGCTGGACAGCGGTTGGATAAATTGGGATTGGTTTTGAAAGAAACGGCCCTAGACTAATCCATGTACTGACATTTGGCTGTAGGGACTAAGAAGAAACGTGAATGATCCTTATTGTAGCTTATGTCCCGGTCTGTAATGGCTGCTGTCACCTTAAGTGTACGTCTTAGATTGTTACCGCTAAGCCAACCCGCCCCGTGTTACTTTGGGTTTTATTTTCTTTCCCCTTGGCACTACAGCCCCAGTGGGCCTGGGCCTACCTCCATGAACTTGGTTTTTATTATGTTTCGAAATTTACGAGGGTTACTAAATATATGGGGCTAGTTTTGTTTTGATATGTTGAATTCAGGTTACTATTGTGTTGACGCCGTACAGTCTGAGCTAGTGGCAGCACCGTTGATTAAACTAGAAATAAATATTGTACTTTGAGTACTGGCATTTTCTGACTCCACTTTTTTAAGAAAATGACATAGTCAGCTAATTAACCTTTGCGATTCTCCGTATGCAGTTACACGAGTTGCACACGGGCTTGCACGCAAGTGTGAGATATCAGAATGTGTTTCCTTCTAAATTACATTTAAACTGCAGCTGAGTCACTAACTTCATACCCAGTTCCCCGAGAAATTGATGTTTGTTGGACATAGTTCACTCTGACAATAAATTCACGACGTGTCTCCACTCTTTTCGTCCTTCAGCCCCTGTAGATAAAGAAACACCGTCACTGAATTTAAATATTGATGACTCTAAACCTCATACGTCAACAAATTCCAACTTAAATTCTTGAACAACAGAAAGTTTGGCATTTGACTTGTGAGTTAAAAATACACAGGATCTGAGGGTGTCACAGCGGTGGTTATGAAGTGTTTTATCTTCTGAAGAATAAGGCTATATAAATCGGTGAAAACCGATGTTTCGGAGGAACATGTCGCATCTATATTCATGGTTCAAGAGTAAGCGAAGCAGAAAATTATCTTGAAGTAGGCAGCACGCAGAACTTTCACTCTGGCTTCCTGCTTGGACTACTGAGCACTGAAGAGGGAGAACACGTTACTCTGAAATGTCAGTTAACTATAAACGGATTACACGGCGGTTCATTCATTCATGAGTAATCTGTATATCCCAGAAAATAGTTACGTGGAATTAAGACAAACTGAATTTACTTATCAGTAAAGAAACTTGTAACAATATTGTAGCTTATAATAAAACACACCTTTTACCTTCTATATGTACTTCTAGCTCGTTCTGAGCAAGAGTCTGCGAATGTTTTCGTAATATCTTCGTCAGTCCCATCTCGTCTGCCCTTCCGTTCGATCTAGAGAGTATTTCCGTCAAATATGATGTCGAGGAGCGTAACCTGTTGACATGTGCGAATTTTGCTTCACCCAGTAGCGTAGTTGGTTGAGGCACTATGCTACAAGGCGAAAGGTCGCGAGTTCAGTTCCCTATAAGGTCACTGGAAATTTTCAATTGACCTAATCCTTGCAGCTGCGTTATGGCCCTGGAGTCGATTCAGCATCTAACATAAATGAGTACCAGAAATATTCCTGGGAGTAAAAGTGCAGCCGACGCGTAAGGCTGACAACCCCACCGCCATCTGTGAGCCGATTGTCCAGAGAATGTGGGAACCTCGACGTCTCAAACTCTATGGATCTCCACGGCCTGCTACAGGGATAGTTTTGCATGAAGACATTGGAGTGCAACTCCAAAAATACCGGAGGGAAAGTCGTTGCCAACAAAATTTATAAACGAAAATGAAATATTTATACACTTTGTTCAGACCATATTTTCGATAAATGTTACTGATTTTTGAGGTAATTAAAGAAAATATAGTAAACGAGCCAGAATTGTTACTCCATGCTTGTGTTTCTTAAGTTGTGTGCGTTCCTCAGTCGAAATACTCCATGTTACGAGAGGCAGACTTCCATTTTCTTGTTTCTAATGGCTATTTTGTTATTATGGAGTCGGTATAGCGACAGGCTGGATGACTGTGGTTCAATTACCGGTAAGGGCAAGACTTTCCTTCTCCCCACAGCATCCAGACCGGATTGTCCTCATGCACAATGAGTACTGGCGGCTTTCCCCCCGGGAGTAAAGCTGCAAAGACCCAATTGTGACCACTCACCTTCATCCATTGGCGAGGTCAAGAATGGTGGAGCTATCACTCCTCTTCCCTATACACTTTCATAGCGTGTTCGTTAAAATTTTATTTTTTTTAATTCGCTTAGTGGGGGGAGGAGTCCAACTGGGTCCACTCGGCACGGCGACCACTGATTGGCCTATTGTAGCCTGCCCCGAGTAATTATGATTATGGAAAATTGGTGGAATGAATATTGGCAGGGGAAACCGAAGTACTCGGAGAAAACCCGCCCCAGCATCACTTTGTGCACCACAAATCCCACTTGATCAGACCCGGGATCGAACCCGGGCCGCCGCGGTGGGAAGCCAGCGACTAACCGCTTGAGCTATGGAGCGGCCTACCGTGGTCGTTAATTAACACATCGAAAACTTTACCCTTTTAAGATTTGAGGCTTTCACGGCGGTGACTATGAAGAAAGCAGTCTTCTGGGATTTGGCACCGTGTATATGTGGTGTTAACGCCACATATTCACGGTGCCAAATCCCAGAAGACTGCTTTCTTTACCCTTTTACCTTGTATTTGATATTTATTTTAAACTACGTGAAGTTGTATGTTGTAGTCACCGGGATATACACAGAGCTTTTTATCTTAAACCAGGTTCATTTATTGAAATCACAGAGAAAGCTCTACGGAAGTACATTAAGATGTTTATGCCCTTTTGACCCATGTTTGACACTACCTAAAATATGTGTCTTGTATACCTCTTGCCCTCAGTGGAATTGCATATGTACACAGTCGATCAGCGTTCAGCAATCGACACACCTGACTTGAGCTCCACACGAAGCGTTCTCTCGAACCCAAATCGTTACGTCACAATATATATATATATATATACGTAGTCTGTCTACAGATGATATAAATAACGTTGTTAGTGTTTAGAGTTCCACGTTATGAGACTGTAGTGTTGGCCGGTCACAGTGGCCGCGCGGTCTAAGGCACTGAGCTTATAGCCACATCTGTATGCAAGTCTTGCACCTGTTCTCTGAGCTCATAGAAACATCTATATGCAAGTCTTGCACCTGTTCTCTGAGCTCACAGAAACATCTATATGTAAGTCTTGCAGCTGTTTACTGAGCTTATAGCTACATCTATATGTAAGTCTTGTAGCTGTTTACTGAGCTTATAGCTACATCTATATGTAAGTCTTGTAGCTGTTTACTGAGCTTATAGCTACATCTATATGTAAGTCTTGTAGCTGTTTACTGAGCTTATAGCTACATCTATATGTAAGTCTTGTAGCTGTTTACTGAGCTTATAGCTACATCTATATGTAAGTCTTGTAGCAGTTTACTGAGCTTATAGCTACATCTATATGTAAGTCTTGCAGCTGTTTACTGAACTCATAGCGCTGCCTCCAAATGCCATTTGAGCGGCCTATGAATTCATTAACATCTGTTACCTGGTAATGGGCTTAGACATCACAGTGTGTTGGTGCTGGTATATCAAGTGTGTCGGTCACGGTAGCCGAGCGGTCTAAGGCATGCACTGCCTTCGCTCGCTCGGAAGCCGGGATCGTGGGTTCGAATCCCACTCAGGGCATGGATGTTTGTGTGTGTTTTTCTGTGTTTGTCTACAGGTAGAGGCCTTGCGATGAGCTGATCACTCGCCCAAGGAGTCCTACCATATGTGTAAGATCTAGAAAAAACCGAAGTGAACAGAAGTTCATGGAGGTAGGCCTAGGCCCACGGGGGTTGTAGTGCCAAGGAAAAAAAATATCAAGTGTAATGTACAGAGGAAAGGTTTCTAAGGTTGACTGTTTGTAATATATTCGTTATCCGTAGAAGACAGCTTTAAACTTCTGCCTCGAATTATCCTTCGATGACACATAAGGTTTG